AGATGTCGTTGAATCTGTTGAACGTGCCCTTGCGCCAAGGGTTGGCCAGGGCAGTTGTTGTTTTTTTTTTCTCTATTGCCTTTGCTTTTGCTTTTGCTTTGTTGCGCTTGTTGATAAAATTTAATCATATTACACATATTTCGCTCTTTATGCTCTGTTAGACCATATGGCTGGAGGGCCACTTGGCGGGGCATGTTATGCTCTAGCTCTCTCCCTCTCTCTCTCTCTCTCTCTCTCTCTCTCTCTGTGTGCTCTTTGGTTGGCTTGTTTACATGCACACCAACGGCCAAATGGGCAAAAATAACCAATTTGAAAATTAATGCCTCTAGGATATTATTCATAAAACTCGTGTACTCCACTGTTGTTGCTCCACTCTCTCTCTTTCTCTCTGTGTGCATGTTGTTTGAAGCAACATGAGAATGTGTTTGGTGGAGGAGAAGAGGAAACCGAAATCAGTTAGTAGCAATTTTTTGACCAGCTTCTCTACTCGCTGCTCCAGCAACATATTTATGCATGTAGATTTTTGGTTTCCAGCTCCATTCTCTCTCTCTCTCTCACTCTTTGGCATCTTTTGTGCTGTAATTGCCCTGCGGTATTTGGCGCGTTGAAGCTTCGGGAGCGACCGCAAAAGTTTATTGCACGCTATAAATTTAATGCAAAAGCATTTGACTGAGGCGACGGCCACAGCCGACGAGCCGGCGAAATATGCAGCGAATGCCATAATTCAATTTAAGCAATTTTCGCTTAAATGCCACACACAAAACTGAAACTGAAAGCAGAGAGCTGAGAGCTGAATGGCGCACCGAATAACCAAAAGCCAAAAACTAGCGCCCGACTTGCTTTATCTACGAATGCGGCCAATCCCCAAAGAAATGCCTGCAATTTGTTTGAAATTCAGTCGAAAAAGTCGCAGGGCAAATAAAATGTGAAATCAGCCAGCAGCAGAGGCAGCAGCAGCAGCAGCAACAGCAGCTGTTGCCAAGGTTAAAGGTTGGCCAGTCAAACAGTCAAGCAGTCAGGCAGTCAGTTAGCCAGGCAGTCCCAGTTCCCTGCTTGAAGAACCCAGGCGCTGTGTATCGTATCAATGCGCGCGGTGGCATAAAATGCTGTAGGAAATGATTGCGGAAATTACACTAAATCGCAGTCAGGCGCGTGTGTCGCCCACACAGACAGAGAGAGAGAGAGAGAGTGAGGGAGATCCATGTATGGATCAGCAGTTGTTGTCGCCGCCAGGCAAATGCCAGCGTCTGCAGACCCAAGCGGCGTATGCGTAATGCAAATATTTTGTTGTAGGCAGCGCTAAAATGTTTCATTTTTTGTATATACACATATACATATATATGTTGTATGTGTATATGCTTACCAACGGGGCATTGTAAATTTTTTATGACACAAGCAAAGGCGAAAAAATGAGAGTGCCACATGCCAAGTAAGTAAAAAACAAAGATGTATAGAGAAATATATATTTATGAATGTATCAGAGCAAACAGGAGCT